GAGAGAGAGAGAGAGAGAATGTATGTGTGTGTGTGTGTGTTCTGCAACCACAGACCAGCGGAAGATGACAGAAGCTTACCCAGGTCAGTCATTATATGCTGACTTGCTATGCACGCAGGCACAGACATTACTTTAGTATCTCAGTCTACCTTGTTGAGATACGTATTTTTTTTTCAATAGCAATATGAATATAATATATATATTTCAAATGACAGGCTGATCAGTGGAATTTTTATTTTTTTTTCCTGGTATACCATTCTCTTGAATACACTGGTTGTTGGTCATAAATCACTCAAAATGACTTTGAAAGCAAGTAATATGACTACATAAATAACACTGGACATAACAATGGACATGAGGCCCAGTGCAGACGTACAGTTTGAGGTCACTGCTGTGTTTTATTCATGGCTAAATATCCCTAAATCCTAATACAAATCACCAGTCTCAACATGAATTCATTTGTACAAATTCAGATTCAAACTTTTGAACATTTAAATATGCCTAGGTGGTCTGATTGGTCCATATTAAACTACAAATCTGTATCACCATTGGTTCTTGGACCGGGAGCCTTTTTCCAGCTGACGCTGAGAGGCAAGTAAACCCTGGACATAGAGCTGTGAAATATGTATATATTTTGTGATGATAAAAAAATGTCTATTGTTTCACATTTTGCTCTATTGTTTATTTTGTTGTGTCACAAATCAGATTTTAAGGCAATATTAACTGTCATTTGGACAACACTTTGTGTCCTTTAGGCACCGCACGAATAACAGTTAAGGTTGCAGAAAGGTTTAAAATAAAACAAGGAAAACAAATGTGAATGCCTTTTATTTGTCAAGTATATTCAAAATGCAATAAGAAATATGCCTTTTCTAATAGCGCTAACTATATATGAACTATTTATTCATTTAATTATTATAGGTATCATTATCTGGATATGAAATTATCTATATCGGGATATGATATTTTGGTCATTTCGCACAGCTGGACAGGCTGCCAACAACCGTTCTTGAGTCACCAATAAACCTACATGTAGCCTGAATGTGTTTGGATTGTGAGCAGAAACTAACGCACCTAGAGAAAGCCCATTCAGGCCCAGGCACAACATTCAAACTGCACAGAGAGCCGGCCAGCCAGCAGGTCAGACCCTTCTGCTGAGCACTGCATCACTGCGCCGGCCCGTTTCCATACCGGTGTTCTGTGGCTGAGTGGCAGCTTGTGAGTTGGTTCATGAAGTCTGTTAAATAAATTATGATTTTAGTCAATAATTGAATAATTTGTCACACCTGTGATTGTTCAAGTGTTCAGACTTATCTCATAATCACATACATTTTGTACTCAAGCTGAGCTGTTATTAGACTTAAAATATGTTTATTTTATTTTAACCCAATCATTTACATTGTAACTCATTTTCAGTGTTATACAGGCAGAATATTAAACCAGAATAATTTATATATCTGTTCTATTCTGTTGAGGACCCGGGCCAGGCTATAGAAGCTACTGAATAAATCTGAGTGCTGTGCATCACCCTTAGTTCACACCTGACACTTATTAATTTGCAGTACTGTTTTATTTCCAGCAGTCCATTCAGAATGTGGTTAAACAGCTCAAATTATAATTATAAAGCCTAAACCCGGCTAGAAAAGTACTCAAAGTAGTTTATTGTTATATCACTGCATACAGTTCCCTCTATGGAACCAGGCACATGACACAGACAGTATCGCTCCCCCAGCGACTACCGTCCACGATCCACACAGGCATGAAGCCATTCCTGTTTTCAGTTGTGGGTTGTGCTTTTAACTCCATGTTCGCTCCAGTGCTTTGTTTACTATGCTGTTTATTGGGGGAATCATGGCGAATCAGGAGGCATGTGAAATCACTTCCTAAGAAGAGAAGACAACACTGCTAGAAGAAGAATTGAGAGGAAAATGTGCCACGGCTCAGCAATTTCAGTACAGTAGTGATAATTACACCATCTCTAACCCGAGTAAAGGGGGTTTAAAGCTATCTAAAGAGTTTTGTACTCTGGTTTCTAATGATATTGATACTAACTTAAGATGTGCAGTAATCATTCTGGGTGACACTATTGGGTTTGTGTTTGTGTAAAAGACAATGTATGAGCTGCGTTCACTTAATGGACACACACACACACACACACACACACAAAAGGTATGTGATGAACATGTAAAATGATCTCCAGCACTTTGGCAAATATTACCTTGTTGTTGACATTCAAAGTAAATCTGAGAAGAACATCCCGGTTGAAGGCTGAGGTGAAGTAAGCCTTCCACTCAAGCTGGATTTACAACAGTAAAACAGTACACACACCATATGAAAACGGACGGATAATCTCTTAAGACTAGAAAAGAAAAATAATACACGTTTAGACCATCTTTCCCATGTGCCCTCAATCCATGCGGCATATTCCTGAAGCTGCTAGCCAAGCCACTGCTAAACAGCCCCTCCTCCATCGGGCCCTGAGGCACAGACCGGTCCCCCAAAGCCTTGGTCGCCTTCCAGCTGTTTCCTTCATAATTATGACGTTACGAGCACCATACAGCACGTGCAACTCACGCCTAATATCAACAACAACTGTGTACATAACTGTCCCGAGGTCGCCATTGAATCCCGGGACCGATGTCATACAAATGGCCACTTCTACGCACCTCCGACAAACAGCCGAAAAACCAACAAGTTGTAGCAAAGACAACCTTAAGATTGCGGTAACGTTACACGAAGCCTGAAACGCCTAAAGTTAGCCACTGGGATAAAAAAGAAAAGAAAAGTATGGCTGTAACTGAAGGCGCATTTCATGTAGTACTTTTAAATTGTTTAGCTAAGTTAGTTGTTCCAATGTTATCGTGTAAGACTCGGCAACGCGTTCGTCGTGTTCTCAAAGCTTTGGGAAGGAGCTTCCATTAAACAGACACCGGGGTTCACCTCTGAAGTCAGCAGCATCCTCTTCATCTTCGACCCAGCAATGGCTCCAGCTCCTGAGAGCGCGGTGTTTGATAAGCCAGCAATGTGTTGCGCTACTTTAAGCACAACTGCTCGCCAAGTGGAAACTAAATTAATGCACGTGGGACATCTGATTTTATAACCCGGGGTTGTTGAGACGGGTCGCACGTGCTCCCAGACAAACCTCCACTTGGGAAGCCACGGGATTCAAGAGGTGTCGTGACGCTTCCTACGAAGGAAGGGGGAGGGGGGGGAGGAGGAGGAGGAGGGGGGAGGAGGCCGAAGATGGATGGAGAGGTCGACAGTGCTGGTTACCATGATAATACAACCACACAGTTATCCTCGACCGGGTTTCGTTTTCATTTCTATGAAGGCTGCCAACGAACTGGGAATGCGCTCACCGCGGCCACATACAAGTGCGGTGCCGACTGAGCCCGGCTAGTCGCTGTCAGTTCAGGACCACCGTGACCACGAACCACGGAGGACTACTTTGGAGCTACACGCATTTTCGTTTACCCGACAAACTGTCGTAAAGTACGATGGCATTTGCTGTGGGAACTTACGGGAAACTAGTGCGGGCAAGTTTGGCAAGTCAACGGTCTTATTTCTGCCGGGAAGATACACACTCAGCGAAGCGGTGTGTCACCAGACAGCTGAGGCGAGCCCCACTGACTCACTGTCAGAAATTTGACAGCTCTTTGCCTGAATGAAACGGAACCCCTCGAGTCCGAAACATCTATCAAAAAATCCACAAAAGAAGTGTTAATTCTTACCCGAAACGAACCCAAAAGTGCAACTCCAGACGTCAATGTAGGGACAGTGTTATCGGCGAAGTTGTGACTGTGTTGTTAGTTCTACTCCTGCTGGCGACCACGGCACAGCGGCTCTACCGCTGCTGCTGACGTGACTGTGATAACACCTCATTTGCATATCAGTGACCTCCTCTCTGATTGGCACCGACCGTTTGCCACAATTTTGCCTTTCCAGGTAAAATTACAATTCGGTTCCCCCAGTGAGAGTGCTTTCGGTGCGGCGCCGCCCCCAACTAGCCCCAGAGAGCGGCTGATCAAATCATGGATTCGTGTCTAAAGTCCTTATATTGACAGAGTGCATAAGATGGCCGCGTACGAGCCAGAGCCAATCCGGAGAGGTTTTACTTTCGCACATGCACCGGAGTCTCTGCTCAATGCAAACATGACAGGAGTGGGAGAGCTGCTCTCCATACATGGGTAAATATCGGCCTCTGGTGGCCGACCGGGCGACATGCTGCTCTAAATTAAATTATTCCAATTTGGACTATCTGTCGTCAATAGTGTGCGATCATATTGACTTTATATAATTTATGCATTATTTTCTCCAAGGGCACAATTATAATAAAATTATACTTAAATGGGCTGATTTTCTCTGGGTATTCTGCAAGGTGGACTCATCGATAGAATTTAATATCCCTGTTATAAAAAATAAATGTAAAACAGAGGATTAACATATTTATCTGTGTAGTATCCTTATAGAATGTATTTATAGCACAGCACATGTACAGCTGTCTGTAGTATAGGTAAATGTATATGTAGACACTGTACTGTACCTTGAAAATAATTGTTACTTTTTCCACCTTGCCCCCCTCTCCTACAATACTGAGAGCAGGCCCAAGTAAATTGTAGAAAACAATGGAAATGTCATGGATCTAGAAAAACATCCAAAAAGGTAGAGGTGAAAATTAAGTCAATTTAACTCCACAAAGGTTTGCATATAACGTTGTGTATAGTCGTGTAAATGCAAGTGAGAAAACAGAAATTCTAATCATTTTTTATCTTTTTATTGATTTCAGAGAAAAGCATTTAAATCTCAGGTCATCTGCACAGTAATGTGTTTCACAAACTGGAGCAGGAATGGGTCCATGTAGAACACATTAAAACTCACGTTTGAAGATACCGACAGCCCAAATGGCAGTGTGTGAAGTACACTGAGATTTGGTTACATCCTTGCCTTTCACAGCAGCTTTAAATAGATTTAATAGGTTTCAGCACTATATCTGTTGTTCTACTAGTCATTTCCTTACGGGGTTTCCACACATTCAAATAAAAATCCATCCTTTGTTTGACGACATTTGCATATTGAAAG